AGCAGTACCCTGCTAGATTATGCCTAAAATCATGAAATCTGTGGGCTTTAAGGGGGGGTAGCGCATATGTATATATACATATATATATATATCTGTCTGTGTGTGTGTGTGCGTGCATGTCCGTCTGTCTGTGCCTGCATTGCCTGCCTGCCGGCCGGCCGGCCTGCCACGGCCTGCCTGCCTCTGGGGCTGGGGCGTACATACACACATGCATACACTTTTTCACTCACTTACATATATATATGTACATGTAGGTACATAGATGTTGCATGGTATTACGGAGTTCGGGATCCCATCACCCTGAGTGCGCTTGGCCGATTGAAGCAGGCTGCCGAGAGAGCGGGGCTCGTGGCGGAGGTAGAGTGCGCTCAGGAGGCCAGCGCAGGGAAGGTTTGGTCCTACATCCTACATAGCGTAGGGCAGTCGGTACATACTTGACACCCAACAGAATCCTCATGTCGACTATGAAGGGAATGGGGTTCGTGGGTATGACAGCAAGGATGAAGAAAGGAATACATGTACCAAAATGCAGGAATCAAATACGTAGAGCTGAGTGGGATGAGCTGTAAATGGGGTCTTGGCGTGAAGCGGAGCTCCGTAACATAGGCCGAATTGGGTGAGATGAGGGCTAATTGTCATGAGCATTGAAAACCGTATTGTTGCGAGTTTGGGCTCCACGTTGTGCCGGCGGAGATCCCCAAATAGTGAAAGACCATGCTCGAAACCTGCCATGAGGACCGGGAAGTCGCGAGCGCCGGCCGGTCGTTCGCGCTGCTTGTGAAACACAAGTCGCAACTGGTTGCCATCTGTGTTTCTCCAGCATTTGTGCCGCCGCCAGGAGACCATCGCGACGCAAGGAGAGCACCGAGAGAGCACCAAGAGAGCACCAGGGGAGCACCAGGAGACACCAAGAGAATGCAGGATACCACCAGAAGAACACAGGAGACCGCCACGAGACCACCAATACCACAAGGGGACAAGAGACCACCCACGACGAGCACCGCGACCTGGACGACCACGACGACGAGAGACCACCAAGAGACCACCACACCAGGACACCATCAGGACACCACCAGGAGACCACTAGGAGACCACCAGGCCAAGAGACACAGGAGACCAGCAGGAGACTCCAGGACAGCACCAGGACATACCATTACACTGCCTACACGCTTTCCTCCAAGTTCTCGCGCATCGAGCACCACGCCCCGAATGGCTTCCGCCCAAAATACCTCAGGCATGGCGAAATCGCCTTCCCCCAAGCATTGGCGAGATCCAGAGGAACACCCTGTACAATTTTCCCCATGTATTTCTGCGATTTTTCGAGAGCCAAAGCCAGTCCATAGCGGTTATTACGTACAATGAATCCTGGCCCCAGGGAACGAATCCTTAAGAGGACGTCAGCGAAAACTACGCACAGCACCATAGTGGGAGACGCGGGAGTGTGGAATGTAAACAATAGGATGCGGGGACCGAACGTGCAGCATCTGCTGTAAATGATAGGGCTCAGGGAGCCTCCTTTCCGGTGCGCCGCACAGCCACGCAATCAGTTCTTCTTACTTTTAACTCAAGGACCCACCAGTTCAGCACACTGTTTGGAGACAGGGTCGCAACGCATGGGCACCAGTGCGACAATTGCAGGTCTAAGCCAACTCACACAAAGCACTTGACTCAACCACGCGCAGGTTCAGAGACTTCGACCATTCATAATGGCTAAATGAACGAATGGTTCGTGTCCCAGACGCAATCTGGCGAGTCTTACGAATGGCCTGGGGCTTAATCAGTCACATAGGAGCCATGGAGCCATAAAAGATGAAATGGACCATCAAGACACTCGGCGCCTTACCTCACGTAGGAGCAAAGTGAGTAGATCATTGGCCCAGTGGTTGCGTGTTGAGGGTCCCCACTCAAGGCGGCAAAATGAACAGATGGATCGAACACCGGCCTTTACGCCACGAAATAACCATGAAGCGTTCGGTTTCAATATATGACCGGCTCAGGGTCTGGAAGACGAAGCTTTTTAAAGACGAAGGCTTGATCCCGGTTGAATCAATACATGGTTCAAGGTTCAGCGCTCTGACCCGTTCAGGCTTACAGGACCCAAGTGATGTGAGTATTGGACAGGTCATTCATTGGTTAGGGCCAGGCGACCTAGCCAATCGTAGGGGCCAAATGAATGGACCAGCGAATAAATGGCACAGTGCTTGTGGGACCGACTCACCTTGTTCTTTCGGACAGGGAGCCGGATTTGCCGAACATTGTTCGGTTTGGCTGCGTAGTCTCTATCGGATAAAGAGTGCGGAGGATATGCCAAGCCGAAAGCGGTGGATGAATTCGGTGGAAGAATAATAGATACTGCAAAAGGCAGACGGATTTCAACGTATCTTCCAAACCGAAAGTACAACGATCCGGAAAGCTCAAAGATACTTTTCCAGGCGCGGCAGCGTGAGATGCGCCAAGCAGCTGATCTTGCGGTTTCGCTCAAGCAGGCTGGATTCGGTTTCAATGTCAAGGTGGTCCGTTTGCAATGGGTTTAGGGTGTTAGGGGTGACAGTTATAAAGCAGGTCAACACCAGAACACCACTGTCTCATATCTAACTGAAACTCTACTACACAAAGACCCTTCAAAACATGACTACTGCAAACCTGCGGGTCTAGCTCCTCTGCAAAACACACATGCCTACATCACCTGTAATCTGAATCTCTTCCAAAAGACCGGGCAGGAGGTAAGCAACAGTCACAAGCAACCTTGCGACCCCAAGTCTACATCCCCCACAACATCCATACCCCCTTGATATCTGTAGAGAACCCCCCTATGCTGCATATGCTACACCCTCAAATATAATCCTCACTGCCTAAACACTTCAGCCTATATGTGCATGAAAGGCGGCGTGACTTAAGCCTCAGACCCCCCCTACACTCTACACCCCACTTCTGTGATCCCTGCGTGCCGGGCTGGATTGCAAAGAGCAAGCCGATATCCGGAGCCTTGCACCGTCCTTTCCTATGCATCAGTGATGCCTGCCGGGGGGGGGGGGGGGGGGGAGGGCCCTGGCACGCTGTAAGGCTTTTACTGTAAGGCTGGGATAGCAATGCATGTTGAGGGTTGTTGAAGCTTCAGAGTTTGAGGCCGAGTGTTGAAGGTTCAGGGATTTAGGTTTTTGGGTTTCAGCTTTGGCAAATTTGGGGTTTAAGGTTTGTTCTTCAGGGTTTAGGGTGCCGCCCTCAAGGCTATTTAAGTGAGGCTTTACTCCCACCACCAACTTGATGTCTCGTCGCAGGCATTGCTGCAGATAGGGATTGCAGGTACGTATGCCTCTGTTGAAATAAAAATGTCCATCAGACCGGCACCCGGCAAATTGAATGCAAGAAGTCTCCACGCCGCTTCTAGCCAAGCTTTCAACACCGTCAGGCAGCAGGATAGATGGTCACAATGGCTCACATACATACCTGCATGCATTCAGGCATACGTACACACGTACAAACGTACATACACAACAGAAACAACATACACAAATGCACACACCAGACATGCTCAGCTAGTGCACAAGTATGTTCTGGATCTGTGTCACTGACTGAGCGAAAGAGCGAGCGAGTGAGTGCTGGCCTACATGGAGGTAGTTGATCAAGCCCGCGGTGGTCCTATACCGTTCCTCTCTTCTAGAAGCACCGGCTGCCGTTGGTGCCGCAACGTAAGCCTCCGCTCTAATCATCATGCTGCCCTCAATCCAAAAACCCCTTGGATCTTCAGCGTTCCTGGAGCCAGGAGCAAGTACACCGCACCACCCTCGAGGTGGAGCTTGTAAACCAGCGCAGCCGCATGGAGGCGCTACAAGTAGCTTTTTTGCTGTCGCTAGGGTCGTTTGGCAAGCCCTGCACCCCAACCTCCCAAGCCATGAACATGTGGGTGTCGTGCTTTAGTACGACCTGTTTTGTGCAAGTCGGGCTTACTTAGTTTGACGACTTTGGGTGTTGGTGATTGTTTCTGGCTTCCGGGGCACGGTTAGGTTAGGGGCTTAGGATGGTTTCGGCGGCTTCGGGCATTCATTGTGTCAGCTGAGGAGTTTTGAAGTTCTGATATAAGAGTGATATAGGAAGCCAACTGGGTCCCATGTGATTTTGGGTTTAGGGCCTGTAGGCCTCAAGGTTCGAGCTCGAAAGAGCATCAAGCTCTAAACCTCTGCAAATTTCTTATTTCATGGCTTCACGTTCCACGCGGTCGAATCCGAACAGTTGTCTCAAAGCCTTTGGGCCCTTCAGTCAGGACTCGGAGTTTAGGGTCGCACGTAGGGGTTTAGGAACCAGGGCTGACATGTAAGGAATGTGGTCCCCGAGGCCCACATACATAAACTGGTTCTGGTAGATTGCTTTATTGCACCATGCTCTAACTCGCAGAAGAAGCCATCTTTTCAGGAGTTGCAGCAAGAGCTCGTGCGCCTGCGGACTGCGAGTTCACAGCAGGCCTGACCCGGCTGCATTCCAGGTTCATGGTCGTAGTTCATAGGGTTTAGGGAAGTGAGAGGCTGCAGAGGAAAGAGTTGCCTCACCAATATTAATGTCAATGGCACTTTGAGAAGGCCTTTGAGTTTACAAGGTTTGGTAGTGTTTGGCAACGTAGACTTATCGGTGTAGGTCCCTGGCTTGTCGGGTTCAGGATTTCAACATTCGGAGATTAGGGGTTGGCGAATCGGTTGGCAGGTGGAGCGTCTTCCTGCTGCTATGTTGTCGCAGTGAGTTTGACTGTGACTGTCATCTTTAGCCTTTACAAGCTTCAGGACGAACAAGTGCTCTTCTGGTGTATCCTGCTTTTTCTCCAGCACTCCGTTTATCGGAGCTTTCGTAAATGCTTTACGTGAATTGGCGCATCAAGCAACAGACAGACCCCAAGCCTGAATCGTTCGGAGTGAGATTGACGAGCCAGCATGCCCAATACGAGGACTGAGAATTCAGATGTTGGCAAGTTACATCCCCCTAACGGCCCTAAAGCCTAAGAGCTTCCAGGAACGAATTTCCAAGGTTACAGGGTAGACGGAAAACCGCCGAATTGTTCGGAATCGGTGCACTGCGCAGAGCCCTGTGAGTTTTGTTCGTGGCGCCCCCGACCTAACCCGAGTAGCAAGTTCAGACTGGTTCCAGGCAGTCGAAGGGCTGTGATGGTGTACACGCACATCCACGAGCCGTGTTGCAAGCATGTCCTTGAAGCTCATATGAAGGCGAGGTTTGCTTGGAACATCTTGCCTGGGGATCATCCGTAAACCCAGTCCTCAATCACCGACATAAACTTTGCACCGTGGACAATCTATATAGAACCCTATGCCCTCAATGCTCGGCTTTCTGGGCGTTTTTGTGCAAACCTGTACGCGGCAGAAGAAGCAATGCCCCTCACCACACCGAACCTCCGCTTGCTGTGTGAGGTGCATGCTGCTGAGCTCGAGCTGCAAAAGCTCAAGGCGGAGGTCAGAGATTCGGAACTTGTTATGTAGACGTATACAGTGTGTGAATGCAACATAACAATGGATATACACATGCGGCTTCTTAAGCGAAATTGCGTCCATATTTCGTATGATACGAGCTTACGCATGAATGGACGAGGATGTATGTATTCACAAATGTCTGTTGTTAGTGCCTGCTAGTGTCGTGATGGTCCCTAGCCTCGCTGCCCGGGCTTTTCGCTTACCACTGACAGTACGGAAGTTTCTGCCGGGCTGCAAGGCTAAGGATAGGTCAAACCCCAAACAACCGTACTGGATGTAATCTCATGCCATACTACCATGTTGGATTTCAGGCCTTCAACTTCAGTGCTGGAGTGCTAAAGGCACCGAGCGGAGCCGCCGCAGAGCAGCAATCCGAAGTCCGCTGAGAAAGCGATTCTTAATCGGGGTTCTAGACTAGGACGTCCTGAGGTTGGAGGGGTCAGGGCTTGAGGGCTTGACTTTGCAACTGAGGCTTGCCAGCCTCATACGTCTTGAAGTACCACCTCCGCCCTAGACTTTAAGCCGGAAACCATCCACGATGTTACCGTTGGTTTGTGGGTCTCAAGAACCATGTTGATGATTATTGAGGTTCTTGCAGTCCTCCGTGTAGCTTATACCCTTAGTTCAAGTCTCCTGCTAGGTCGACCGGCGTCCGCCCTCCGTCAGGAGTGCACCAAGGCCGGGATGAACGGTTCAGGGCTTGGGGTTGAGGGTTTTGGGACTTTTAAGGTAAGACTAAAGGTTTGGGTTAAGGGGTTTAGGGTAGAGGAATTCATGGACTTGAGGGATGCGACCTGAAACATACATTGAATTTACAAAACCCGACCTTAGATATTCCAAAAAACAGATTATGAGATTTTAACGTACAGCCTTTAAGCCGAATTACCGGACGCAGTGCAACGAGATGCTAAAGCCCAACTCAAAGTGACACAAGCATGCAACCCTAGATGCGACACCCTGACACCACACCAGATCCGATTCTGTGGACTTACTGTAAGCCCCCGAAGCCCCAAACCGTGAAGCCGACGCCCAGAAGCCCGAAAGCCCGAAACCTGCACAGGTCGGCAAGAGCGGAAAGTGAGGCCTCGTGCCAGCTCCTTTGTTGTGGGTTGCACAGTACTCTGACAGAGTCCCAAACGGCGCTTATGGGGTTTCTACAAGGGTGCTGGTACAGGTCTCTAGGCGGTTGTTGCTGCAGTGATGCGCCGGTTTGTGTCGCAGGGGTTGGGTAGCACGAGGAGGCAGATGCCATCGGCTCTAGGGTTTGGGTTTGGGGATGGCAGTGGTGGTAGCACGGTTACAACTTGACAACTTGGTGACGTGGCAGCAGATGCTCATCAATGCTTTGTGCACCTGTTTTGTGAAGTGTTTCGGGGAGCCAGGGGTGCCTGTTTTGTACAGGATTTCAAATGGCAGCGAATGTCTCAGCTACAGCATAGACCGTAATAGGCCTCGTTGCTGCGCGATTTCGCTGACAATTCGACGCTTCAGTTTCGTGTCGGCTCCGTCTAGAGAGGTCGGCTTTGCTCAGCGGCCGGTTTGAATATCTTTTCTGTTTGTGGTTAAGCAGCACAGATGGGTGCTTAGGCTGACGGATACCAAGTTTCCAGAGACATCGCAGACAAGTGGGCGATTCCTGCCTCAGACTTCGAGTTAAGGGCCAGTTAAGGGCACAGAACTCCCAACTCCTGAGGCCGGTGTGTCATTCGGTTAAAAAGCTTGGTTGGGGGGTGACAAGAAGCACACGAAGCGAAGGCTTGCAACGCCTCAACGGGAAGTCTCCAACCCACTACATCCCAAACGCTAAAGCCGTGGGCAGGCGAGCGTCATCTCGACAGCTCGGAAGTCCTACTACGGAGCGGAGGAGTCCCAAATTTGCGGATCTCAAGGTGAAAGTTTCCCTCAAAGTCCCGAAAAGCTGCAACACCTCAAGCAAACCCTCGAAATGATGCTGACCCAAAGCCGTCCAGGGATGTTGTCTGTCATTCTGTCGAAGCCAATCCGAAGCCAGGAAAGATTCCTGCCAGAAGGGAGGACATGACTGAAAGTTCGCTGACAAAAAATGGTGCCGGCGATGCCTGGACTCCAGAAGCTAAAGAACCTCCAGCCATACACTTTGAATTCCAGAGCCTAGACCCTAGAGGACTTTCCAAGCTTTACTTACGCAGTGCGGATCCGCGAGGAGAGCACCGTATCTTTGCACCTGGCCCTTCACCAGGAGCCACGGGCAGCACCTGTCGCGCTCTCGCGCAAGCTCTACATAGGGAGTTTAACTGTGCCGTTTAGATGGGATTCTCAATTAATTGCTCAGCCAATGTTCTGGCTACCTAGACCCGAAAGCGCGATAACAGCAAACAGAGTCTATAACTGCCTATAACGATCCGTACTTCTAGACGTTTTTGATCGTGTCGAGCAAGCGGGGCAAGTGGGGGGAGCATGATTGCAAGCAATCTGGCAATCTAAGTCTCCAAAAGGTAAACTAGTCGGCGAGCAAATGGGGCAGGGGCAAGATGACCAAGATTTCCAAGTGTTCCGCCAAATAATTGTCCTAGTCTAAATTCCCGGCACAATGGACGACGACGACGACGACTGCCACTACCACTGCTGCCACTACTACTACTACTACTACTACTACTACTACTGCTACTACTGCTACTACTGCTACTACTGCTACTGCTGCTGCTCCTCCTCCTCCTCCTACAACAACAACTACTACTACTACTACTACAACTACTACTACTACTACTACTACTACTTTTACTGCTACTGCTACTGCTACTGCTACGGCTACGGCTACGGCTACGGCTACGGCTACGCTGCTACTGCTCCTGCTCCTGCTCCTGCTCCTGCTCCTGCCCCTGCTACTGCTACTGCTACTGCTACTGCTACTGCTACTGCTACTGCTACTGCTGCTGCTGCTGCTGCTGCTGCTGCTCCTACTACTACTACTACTACTACTACTACTACTGCTACTACAACTATTACTAC